CACGCAGCATGGTAACGTTTGTTTGGGTGCTTGTAATCGGATGTCTTGGGCATAAGGGGCTGCCCCGGGCAGCTATGTTACAGGATAGATTTTGTTTCTTAACTTGATGATTTAAATGATAATAATACAAACATTTCACTCTTACTTGTCCTTTAATTTATTTTATCATAACAACATCTATAATCATTTTAAGAAACTCGCCCCGGGCAGCAAGATTGTATATCCATGTTATTGATTCACAGAATATTTATTGCTGGTCGTCGTCTAGTTTTTAGTCCGACATTTGAAAACCAAACAGACAATAGTTGCCCATGATTTAGGAGCAACAGGGTTTAGTGGTAGTTTATGGTAGTATAACACATCAGCAGACCGCTTCTCATTTTATAATACAATTTTTTATACAAATTATAAAACTAAGTTGTGATTAACCAAATTTAAAAATCAAAAGCGCAGCCAGTTCAAAAATTGTGGGGCCAAGCTTTTTTAGTGATGTAATATAGCGCTTACTCTCATGTATTGCTCTGACAAAGCCAGGGAAAAACTGCCATGGATATCTAACGATAACTTTAAAGAGCTCTCCGCCGATTTACTTTGTTGGCAAATTTAGCCCAATTATAGGTAATTTAGGGTAATAATAGGGTTTATAACAAAGGACTAACACATTTGTCAGTTGTAACCACCATTATATGACACTCTCCCAAGTATATTTGATTTGTAATCTGCACTGAGCATTTCAGTAATAAGTTTCTACATTATAACATTTTAGCAAACTCTACTGGAAACAATGCTTCTTATCAAATTGGTGATTAACACGCCTTAATTTTGAGGTGTGACATCACACTTTAATTGCGCACTTGAATACAAATTGTATGACCTCCTAATATCCTTTTAGAGTTTCTCGTGTTTATTTAGTGAATATCGCGCACAGATCTGAGCGCCGCCGTCCAAAAATATTGAAAATATTTCACAATTAAAATTAATCTTACATCTTATCATATTGGAAGACAGTCAGTCTAAGTGGGTAAAATTGTATGTGGTTGCAAATGTACATGGGGGAAAATATGAGTAGGCGCAACTATACGTGGGTGCAATCGTAAGTGGGTGAAACTGTATGTGGGTGCAACTATACGTGGGTGCAAATGTATTTGGCTGCAAATGTACGTGAATGCAATTGTAGGTGGGTGCAACTTTATGTGCAGCAACTGTATGTGGGTGCAACTTACGTGGGTGAAAATGCTCATGGGTGCCAAAATTACAATACTCATTATTCGATGTTCGTTAAAATATTCGAAATATTTCAAATAAAAAAATACGATTTAGCCCACCACTAATCGCGGCGCATGTAAATATTTATTCATTGAATGGCAATGAAAAATCAACTTGAATAGTATTAAATTCCAAGCAATAGTTTCACATCTCATGCATTCGACCGGCTCTACATGCGATCGTGTTTTTGGATATATAAACAAATATGACGCTACTGACATCTGCGAGTTATAGTTCTCTTTAAAATTAATTTTTGCGATAAATTCGGGTACCAGCTGCCTACGGATTAATGGTCGATGTTTGAAATAGGACTTGTACAATATTCACCAAACACCGTCGGGCAAAGAGAGGCGAGCTACACGTAAGATGTAACTGTGGATTTTCGCCGTGAACGACGCATACTTTTTAATTCATTAAACGCCTCACGACGTCGTGAATTGCACTTTTGATCCACTGTTTTAATTTCACCGTAATCCCCCCGTAGGAAAAATCCTGGCTGCGCCCCTGCCTGGTACACATATGGTACTACGTTCCAGTGTCCGCCATCTTGGTACACATACTTCGGGAGTACCTGCAATTATCCATGGGTTCAACTGTACGCGGGTAAAACTAAAACTTAATATTTGTACTATTATACAGTGGCGGCGCGTCAATAGGGCCAACCGGGGCAATGCCCCGGATGTTTTTTCGGTTTAATGAAAAATATTCGAAAAATACCTCAATATCGGTTGCACAGACTGTCTACACTAGCCATATTCTCCCGACATGGTTCATTTTTCGCTCGCAAAGCCTTCGCCGAACGTCGACGGGGCGACGCCGATTTTGCCCCGGTTGCTCATTGTATATCGTATTCTCTCTTTTATCTTCCACTCGCCGCGTTTGTCTCGTTTGTTTTCTGTTTCGTTTACTAAATCATCGGGACCTATCGGGGCTAGCCCCGAAATTATGACGACACAATGCCGACGTGACTTACAACAACGTGTTGACATATTCACGCATTTCTTCTCGTTCGTTGGTTGCTTGAAGAGTTGATAGTTTCCTCGCCTTCGTTTTTGTCGCTTGTTTCGCTATTTGAATCAGTTAGAGACCTTTAGTCCATTTGCTTTCGATTTTTCACATTCCTTTTGAGCTCCTCACTTCTTTCCGGCTTCGCATTTCTTAGTCTTAGACCTCATAATGAATAAGGTTGATGCACTACTTTGCACTCCGTTTTTGCGGCTGCCGCTGGAACAAAAATTAGAGGTACAACGTCTTGGGCCTTATCAACCAAAAAATTGTTCACTGGAACAATCCCATGACAGAGGAAAGCGTCGGCGTACGTTCTGCGCAGAAACTTGGTATAAAAAACACGAATGGTTGTGTTACAGCGAGGACAAAAATGCACTTTTTTGTTTTTATTGCCTACCTTTTGCTACCGCCCGTGACTCACGTTGGTGTAAATTTGGTTTTAGAGATCTTAAACATCTTTCCGAGCGTGCCAGGGATCATCAATCTTCTATGGAGCATCTGGACAATGCAGTAAAATACCGAACATTCGGAAATGTTAATACTGCAGCACAGTTGGATGAAGGACGCGCGGTTTCTATTCGTCGGCACAACCAAAACGTCGAGAAAAACCGCCATGTTCTCGGTCGATTGATAGATGTTTTGAAGTTCATTGGTTGTCACGAGCTGTCCCTCCGTGGGCACGATGAACGGACTGGCTCTTTTAATAGAGGGGTATTTTTGGATATGGTGAAATACACCGCATCCCTAGATACAGTATTGAGAGATCATCTTGATGCCGCAACTGTTTCGAAAGGGACATCTAAGGATATCCAAAATGATTTGCTCAACTCAATGTATAAAATTTATTTACAACATTTGGCTCTGGAAATTGAGAATTGCCAGTTCCTTTCGATTCAGTCTGACGAGACAACTGACATCACGTGCGTTTCCCAACTGGCTGTGATTTTTCGGTTTGTGAAAGATGGTAAACATACCGAGAGATTTCACAGCTTTGTACCAATCGTTGATCGCACGGCTTGCGGGATATCTGCTGTACTGAAAGAAGTGTTACAGCCTTACAACGCGAAGTCAAAATTGATAGCTCAAACTTATGACGGCGCGGCAGTCATGAGTGGGTCGAAACATGGTGTTCAAGTTTATATAAAAGAAGATTTGCCTCATGCGCATTTTTTACATTGTTATGCACACCAATTTAACCTCGTTATTAAAAATATGTGTTTTGATACCCCTCTCGTCCGTATATTTTTTGCAAATGTTTCGGGGTTTTCTTCATTTTTTTCCGTTTCGCCGAAGCGCTCTGACCTCCTTCGCCAGATATGTAGCCGCCGTCTCCCAGCTTGTGCACCAACACGTTGGAAGTTCCAATCACGCGTGGTGCAGGGCGTGTCCGAAATTAGGTCTGAGCTCATCGAGTGTTTCAATGGCATTCAGAGCTCTCCGGTTTGGGACGAACGCTCTGTGAGGGAGGCGGCAGGTCTAGAGCGTCTGCTAGAAGATGGTCTCGCTTTTTTCTCCACAATATTCTATCACGTGGATGTATTATACGGCGCATTGCAGTCAAGGCTAATGGATGGAGCGTCTGCGCAGTCGTGTATTTCAGACTTCTGTGATTCTGTATCTCGTATCCGGGAAACAATAAAATACGACGACACATGGAGTGCTTCTTTACGCCGCGGGCAAACAACGCAGCGTTTGATTTTGTCTGCAAAGGAATGCTGTGACATTCTGGTGAATCAAATAGGCGATCGTCTGCGCACTGAACACCTTGCCGCGTTCTCTTTGATGAACCCCAAAAATTTTTCAAAATTTGCACGTCAATTTCCCATCCATTTATTGGCTACTGTCTCCAAATTTTACCCCATGATAAACGTGGGTAAATTGGAAAATGAATTGCGATGTATATACACCAATCAAACTTTTTTGAACATCACATCAACTTTCGCGCTCTATGGGTTCCTCATAGATAACACTCTAGTAACTACCTTTGCAGCGTCTGCAAAATTTCTGGACATCATTTTGACGACGCCTATTTCTTCCGCCGACGCAGAGCGAATATTCAGCACGCTGAAGCGTATTAAAACGTATCTCAGAAACACAATGAAGCAAGATAGATTAAATTCCTTGGCTGTTTTATCCATTCACAGAGATGTTATTTCTGGGATGCATGACTTTAATCAGCGCGTTATTGAGCATTTTGCTTCCAATAAACCGCGGCGTGTTGCATATATGTTCAAGCAGTAGAAGTCTAGCAGCTTATATATCTATGAGTGAGCGACGCATGTCCTTATCTTTGCATTACCTTTCCTTTCTTCATAGTAACGTTTTAAACCTTATTTTATTTTAGGTTTTGTCTGCTTTCCCGAAGTTTCTGTTAATATGTCATTGTATTTATCTGGGTAAATATTGCCTTTCCTTTTGAAAGAGGTTTCAAAATAAACTATGTCTATATTTATTAATCCCTTGACTTGGACCGGTTTTAAAGACAATTTCTTATCGTTAAAAATTGTCGCTTTTGCCGATTGGTTGTTACCGATGGAATGGTTTTTATACTCATAAAATGATGGGAGAACTTACAGCGCTCATCCTGTCCCCGTAGATGGAGGTGACTTGGTCCCGCAGTAGCTTGCCCCGGTTGTCAAAATGACCTTACCTTACCCTAAAATTCCTATATATTTCGTATTATACAGAATTATCATTTTTGTGTATGTACGGTAGATTGTATAGATATGAGTGACCGACTAGAAGATGTGATCAGAGGATGTGTGAGACAATTTGCCTCAACTGTTGATTTCACAACCTTTGCACAATCTGGGAACGGACTCGCACTCAGTGTGCAAGATGTCACTACGGTCATTGAAAACCACAGATTGTCTGTTGAAGAACAGAAGAAGAAATTGTTCTGGCTTTGGGTTGAAAGAAACAGATCGAATGCAACTGCACAAAGAATAAGGAATCTTGTAACACAATATTATGAAGTAGAACAACAGACTGCTTCCCCTCATGTTGGCAGACTCGAAGATATTTCACAAGATGTTGCTAAAACCACGGATTCATGTACGTTTTTAACCTTATTTTAGACTATGCTTACATTCCTCGTTGACCTGTTTTAAAGTGTCGTTATGTTTTGTGCAAAGAAACAAAAAGAAATGATTGATTGATAAGTCATATTTGAATATTATAGCAGCAATGTGTCATATTTCAATATTATTGCAGCATTGTGTCATTGAGAATGCACGAGCTACCAAATAGCTAACATCTTTAATATGAAATCAGAGGCAAGGTTCCCTCTAAGCTGTGCAACTGCGCAGTAAATTTCAATCAATCAATCAATTTCATGTGGTCACTCTGATACAAACAAAACAAAATACAGAGGACCTGGAGGACGGGCGTAACTTAATAATAAAGTTAAATACGTACAAGTAAATGCCCGTCCCCCAAAAACAGTCAAAACACAGTAAAAAAAACACGATGTGACATCGGGCAATATTTTATAAATTCAAATTAAAATGTGAGACGTGTATGTGCTTTTCCTATAGATATATAGATAAAAGAACACTCGCTGCCGAAAAATGGTGATGCTGTAGGCCTAGTCCAATTATATTGCAAAAGTAACACAGTGACAAATTTATTTTACTAAAAAACAATCTTGGTAAATGGATTGAATGTTCCATAGCAATCTATGCACAAATCATGGATTGGGGTGTTGGGTTCTCCTGTCGTTTTCGGTTAGTTCAGTTTAAAATCATTGTATCCGTTTCAATGCCTCCAACACCAATATCGAATTTCCACGAACAACCACCATCCAGCCATTTCAACAGGTGTAATGGTCCCACCTTTTCTACGCTCTGTTCCATCATCCACGTCTAGATTTATAAAAGGATCGAAACCTCGCAATATACCCGTAACAGATCGTCCACCATTCAACTTCAAATCCAATCTTTTATCCATAAACTTCTTTAATTCCGGTCGATGGGCTTTGGCCATGTTGATATGGCCATGTTGATATTACGCGATACAGATACCGAAACATATAACGCATAGCATTCACTAGTCTTTTCTAGCTGACACGTCCGCACCCGACAACGGTCGGACACATACTAATTACTAATTTAGACAATTTGCGCAGTAAAATCTCATTCTTGCGCACTTGCAACATTATGTTTTCAAAGCTTGTGTCCTGGGTCGTCATATTTTTTAACGCCTAGTCAGAATGTCCGTTTTTTGTTTCACGCGTAATCTGAACGCCACGGCCCATTGTGATGTCACAAACTTATCTGGTACGCCTGAGCACCTTGATTTCTCTATGCCAGCGAGGGCCCGTTTCGCATTTCGAAGTTTTTTACGAGCCCCGAATTTCGTGTTGCTGCACCGGTATAATTTATTTGTTTTCCGTTGCGTAGTCGACATAAAAAATATTTGGAATGTTTAGTATTTAAATAGGTATTTGGGGTTGCAAAGCTGGTGTCCAATTTTGTTATAGGCAGTTTGTTGCTCATAGCCTCATGGCTAGACTAGTTGGAATTTGAAGGAGGGAGTGCTATCGCCGTCGGCTCTTGGGCCATGGGTTTTTCTAAATGATACAGGTGGTATATAATAGTTAGACTATGTTTTATCAGAAATTACTAAAAAAGTTTCAAGCGTTTTCATATTTTGCAGTTTACTGGAATGAGTGGTTTATTATTTAACCAAATCCAATACACTAGCGTTTTTATCTTAGTAAAATGTCTATTCGAGAAAGCAAGGCAAGGAATGGATAAATACAACAGTGGACCGTGAGACACTAATTTGCAATCGTGATACCGGTATGCATAAGTAAAAAAAAACTGCTAACTTTCCGAAATTCATTGCTATTCCGCGTCAAGGAATGTGATAATCTGCAGAGTTTGTCAGATAGTGGCACCTGATAGTGATTTTGGAAAAGGTAAATCATGGGAGTAATGGGAAGTTGACTATCTAAAATAGGGTCACCATATTTGAAAAAGCAAAATTCCGGACAGTTCATGACTATTTTCATGACCTCGTAGTAAAAAATATGCGCACGGTACGAAATAACAATGTTCTTTATTAGCAGTGTGCACAGCACGATTGCAGATGCAGTAAAATTCCGGATTTCGGACATTTGAGCATTTTTAAATTCTTCCCGGACGCAAAATTTAACCCTAAATTCCGGACATGTCCGGATTTTCCAGACGGTATGGCAACCCTAATCTAAAACACCTTTTGAATCATAAAAAGTACATTGACGCACTAGGTGCATTAACTCAGAAGCGATATTTTGAATCAATAGGAGGTAGTTTGAACTTTTTCACCACAATGAAGAGAATGAAGTTTTGAAAACTCGTCAAGTGAAATGAAGCCTCTCATAGATAGTGTTCTACCACGCGTTAAGCTAAATTCATTAATATTGTCCCGCGAAGTAATAAATAGACGTATGTGAAAATACACTAAATTGCCACAGCCATGTTGAAGCAAAAATATCGGCTTTGAATTTCTGAAAAGCATAGACGTTGGCGTCAGGGAAGAAATCATGCAGAGCACAAGACAAGCAAAATTTCATACCCTGATTGTTGGACACATAGTGGACATAGCGATCGTTTCAATATTATGTAGTTGTTCTTGTTATTCTTCTTCTCCTTTGTCATGATGAAATCGCTTTTCTCTTCGAATACTGGACCAATTGCTTTGAAATTTTCAGTGGTTAAAGATTGATTTTTTTGCCAGAAGGCTATTACTTTTACTTATTTCAAATATTTCTGTGAACTTCAAGATATTCGTTATTTATGTGTCAGAATGAAAAATAGCGACACCTTGTGACGTTCCGCGGACATCGGACGCCATTTTGTGTCCGACTGTACTGCTTCGCTTATTTGTGAACTGTGATCTGATGGTACGGTAAACCCAAAGTGACTATAAACCAAGTGATGACATGCATTGGTAACGTTATAAGCGCTCGTGTGACATCACGCCAGCCATTTTGTGTCCAGAGTTCTATCGCTGTATGATCCTAATTAAGTGATTTAAACCTGCGATCGTTAAACAGCTGATTAAGAAAAACGATGCTCAATAATTCGGACCAAACTTTCGCAGCGGCAAAACGAATGAACATTCTTCTGAAAAATAAATTATCCGCAGATGTTTCTCGGATAACTCGGCTCGGCGGTATGATCACCGTATACGAAGTTAAGGTTAAAGTCATCCAACTTCACTCGATAAATCAACAACCCAATAAGACCAAAATATTAAACAAAAGGATACACATTTTATTATTAAATTATTATAAAATTCTTGATGTAAGTATCGCTACTTGCACAGAACCTATTTTAACAAACTGACAGAACTACAATACAAATTATACTACAGAAACTTGCACTATTTTTGCGGTACATGTCATGATATTAAAATTTGCGTATCGCAAATTTTGAACAAGGTTGTACATTGCCAAAATAATAATAAAAAAATATATTACATGCATGGAATGAAGGATAACGGCGTATATCAAGTTTACAAGAACATCTAATAATCTGGAGTGTATAATATAATATATTATCTATTTGACTTGAGCTCTAGTCGCAGGTCTACTAGCATACCGTTTTTCAATAATTTTTTTTGTCTCCACCTTTGCGTGAATATTTAACTTATTGAGAAAACGTTTCAAAATTTTAAAAGCGATATTGTGGCAAGGTGGGAAATTATATTTCAAGCAACTTCATCTGTCAGAAAAGTAACAGGCGAACATATATTATAAAAGGCATTAATATTTGCGCGAAATATAGTTTATACTTCGCGCAAAAATACGATTGCTTTTTTGGATGGGTGGCATAAATATTGGGTAAAACTATCAATTTTCAATATTTATCAGGTGTGTAAGACCTAAAAAGAGTTAGTAACGATTGTGGGCATTCATCGGGATTGACACTTTCCATAGAAACAAACAAACAATTTGAACCCCATGTCTTTTTGGGTTCCCTCCGGAAACATCAAGGCTAATTTTTCACTGTTGGTTATCGATAAAATTACAATTAGGTTTCATCAACGAGAACGTAGAAGACATGATGGCGTCGCTAGATCACCTAGTAAATATTTTACATTTTCCGACGCAAAAGAATCGAAATATCCTGCCAATAATAAGTTGATAAGAGCTGCAACACCAGTCGCGGCGACTGGTTTTTAATTTTTGTACCTTATAATGTACATGCTTCGATGAAATTCATTAAGCAGCACAATGTGCTAGCCATGAGATCGTTTACATTCTAAAATTTTTGGAGCAACTGTTGCAACAGCTCGTTAAATTAAGAAACATTTTTCCGAGAAAATTCATTTCATCAGCTTTTGGAATGATTAATGTAAAACGCAGACTTTAAACTTTCGGCATGGTGTGAATAGGTATCATAATATCAGTTCAAATAGTACCTGATTGAAACGTATGCATTAGGTTAATGACGTTTCACAATTGCGAAGGAAAGCGATATTCATACGGAACGTTGCTACGTTGCGACATAATTGCGTTGTTTAACTCAAGTTGGCGCAGTGGGCATGTCAAGAATTGGAGAACATTGGATGAAACAACTCATACAATTTTACTGGTGCACGAAAAATTATATTTAATGTCGAAAGCTATTCCTAACCTATGCAAATGTGTCGATGTCATATTAGGTTAAAACAAGCAAATCGAAGTTTTCGTTATTTAATTCGGAAGCTTTTCAAAAAGAATTTACGATATTTAATTTTGCCGATTTTCGTATGATAATCGCGACATTTTATCTCCATCTCATAATTATAATTATTCTCCTAGATTGTCTTTCAAACAATATAAAACTTATCTGCATATAAGGGTTGGTGAGATATGAGGTTTCAAAGTTGCATAATTCACACGGGATGATAAGATAATGATCGCACTTTCACGAAACCGCATGATACCAATGTGATTCCAGGAGGCAAATAGCAAAAGAAAAATATTGAAATTACCCGAAAAAAATGCAAAAAGTAAAAAATCTTCAAACAAATTGACGAACGAGACCTTCTGACGAAGCTAAAACAAACCGACGCTGCCGCGTTTTCCCGATTCGCTGGACACAAAATGACGTTCGATATGCATCATTGCACTCGGTGTCTCCACTTGGTCTATAGTCACTTTCGGTAAACCACCGAGACACCGAGTGCAATGAAGCATATCGGACGCCATTTTGTGTCCAAAAAATCAAGGGAACGCGACAGCTCCGGTTTGTTTCAGCTTCGCCAGAAGGTCTCATTCGTCAATTTGTTTGAAGATTTTTTACTGTTTTGCATTTTATTGAGGTAATTTCATCATTTTTTTTTTGCTATTTGCCGCGTGGAATCATACTGGTATCGTGTGGTTTCGTGAAAGTTGCGATAGTTATCTTATCTTCCCGTGTGAGTTATGCAACTTTGAAACTTCATATCTCACGAACCTTATATTAGATGCAGATAAGTTTTATATTGTTTGAAAGACAATCTAGGAGACTAATTATAATTATGAGATGGAGATGAAATGTTGCGATTATCATACAAAAATCTGCAAAATTGAAAATCGTGGAATTTTTTTGAAAAGCTTTTGAATTAAATACCAAAAACTTCGATTTGTTCTTGTTTTAACCTAATATGACATCGACACATTTGCAGAGGTTAAAGATAGCTTTCGACATTAGATGGAATTTATCGTGCACCAGTAAAATTGTATAAGCTATTTCATTCAATGTTCTCCAATTCTTGACATGTCCACTGCGCAAACTTGAGTAAAACAACAACGTTACCTAATTACTTCGTTACGCGATCACGTCGCAACGTAGCAACGTTCTGTATGAAAAAAACATATCGCTTTCCTTCACAAGTGTGAAACGTCATTAACCTAATGCATACGTTTGAATCAGGTACTATTTGAACTGGTATTATGATACCTGTTCACACCATGCCGAAAGTTTAAAGCCTGCGTTTTACATTAATCATTCCAGAAGCTGATAAAATGAATTTTCTCGGAAAAATGTTTTTTGATTTAACGAGCTGTTGCAACAGTTGCTCCAAAAATTATAGAATGTAAACGATCTCATGACTAGCACATTGTGCGGCCTAATGAATTTCATCGAAGCATGTACATTATAAGGTACAAAATTTAAAAACCAGCCGCCGCGACTGGTGTTGCATCTCTTATCAAATTATTATTGGCAGGATATTTCGATTCTTTTGCGTCGAAAAATGTAAAATATTTACTAGGTGATCTAGCGACGCCATCATGTCTTCTACGTTCTCGTTGATAAAACTTAATTGTAATTTTATCGATATCCGACAGTGAAAAATTAGCCTTGATGTTTTCGCAGGAACCCTATAAAGACACGGGGTTCAAATTGTTTGTTTGTTTCTATGGAAAGTGTCAATCCCGATGAATGCCCACAATCGTTACTAACTCTTTTCAGGTTTTACACACCTGATAAATATTTGAAAATTGATAGTTTTACCCAATATTTATGCCACCCATCCAAAAAAGCAGTCGTATTTTTGCGCGAAGTATAAACTATATTTCGCGCAAATATTAATGCCTTTCTTAATATATGTTCGCCTGTTACTTTTCTGACAGATAAAGTTGCTTGAAATATAATTTCCCATCCTGCCGCAATATCGCTTTTAAAATTTTGAAACGTTTTCTCAATAAGTTAAATATTCACGCAAAGGTGGAGACAAAAAAAAATTATTGAAAGCGGTATGCTAGTAGACCTGCGGCAAGAGCTCAAGTCAAATAGATAATATATTATTTTAGACACTCCAGATTATTATATGTTCTTGTAAACTTGATATACGCCGTTATCCTTCATTCCATGCATGTAGTATATTTTTTGGATATTATTTTGGCAATGTACACCACCTTGTTGAAAATTTGCGATTCGCATATTTTAATATCATGACATGTACCGCAAAAATAGTGCAAGTTTCCGTAGTATAAGTTGTTTTGTAGTTCTGTCAGTTTGTTAAAATAGGTTCTGTGTAGTAGCGATAATTACACCAGGAATTTTATAATAATTTAATAATAAAATGTGTATCTTTTTGTTTAATATTTTGGTCTTATCGGGTTGTTGATTTATCGAGTGAAGTTGGATGACTTTAACCTTAACTTCGTATATGCTGACCATACCGCCGAGCCGAATTATCTGAGAAACATCTGCAGATAATTAAATTTTCAAAAGAATGTTCATTCGTTTTGCCGCTGCGAAAGTTTGGTCCGAATTATTGAGCATCGTTTTTTTTTAATCAGCTGTTTATAACGATCGCAGGTTTAAATCACTCAGTTAGGATCATACAGCGATAGAAATCTGGACACAAAATGGCTGGTGTGACGTCACATGAGCGCTTATAACGTTACCAATGGTTGTCCTCACTTGGTTTATAGTCACTTTGGGGTAAACCGTACTGTACTGCAAACAGATGTGTCCATATAATTGGGCGTAGCTCTCTTGTTGATGAAAGCAATGATATTTCAACAACAAAAATGTTGGTATTGTACATAAAGTATTGTACTTTAGAATGTTTAGATGATTGTCGCTTGAATCAAATATAAACCTGGAAATGTGTATGAACAAAAGCACGAAAGCAAGGATAAGCTATTTGAGTAAAATGTGTGCTTTGTTCGCAATCCGATAATATATACTATTGTAATATTTCACAAAAAATTTAGGATTCTGCTCAGCCTTAAAATTGTCTTGCTCAGTAAAAACAACATTTGCGCAGTGTGAAATTTACTTAGAGGGAACACTGATCAGAGGCAATGTTAATTTTAAGAAATATAGTCCTATTTTCCTAGAAAAGTCAAAATATGGGCTATGGCAAGAGAATTCTATTTGAATACCTCTCTTACTTGTCCAAAGTCATCATATATTCATGCGATATCAACATTGCAGCTTATATTTCACATTTATGTGAATTGCGAATCATACTTGCTAACTCACTACTTTATTTTTAGATTTGCAACAAATTGAAAATGTTTCATCTCAAAGAAGTGGATCCGACATTCTCTTGACTTGGGACGAAGTATCTGACAGCAACATTCTATACAACATAGAAATCTTCTGCGATGATGTGAAACTCGGAGAGACTCACACTACAGAGGTTCCCCAGTATAGAATGAAGTCACCTACACTTGGTAAAACATATCGTTTCCAAGTCTGGGCCAAGGACGAATGGGGTGACATCGGAGTCAAGACACAGTCAAAGAATGTTATCAAAGGTAAGTTACGACAATTAAATATTAGGTGAAGTAGCAACCCATTTTCATCACTATAAAAACCTATTTCCATTCTGAAAACTTATGGATGCAATTTGTGTCCGACAATGTTGTTCCTATAACATGTTAATTCGTCTTCTGTGCGCCTTGGTAGCAGTGTTGATGAAACTTAGTAACTCACTCATTGGAACCCGACTAACAACCATAGAAACTTTACTATTGTCTACTCCAAGTCCATGCTTCCGAAAACGAATTACTGGATAACTAATCTCATACCCAACATGGACTGGTTACCGGACGAGACCCAAATAGAAAAAATAGAATAAAATCTAGAAGAAAAAAATCTATCAAATACCATTTGCGATGCATATCAATGTTGTAATCAAAAATGATAAATTTACTAGCTTTTTTTAATTACAATTCAAAATAGGCTTCAAAGTTGAAGGCACTGAAATATAATTAGGCACACTTTAATTAAAATGTCTTTTGGAAAGACGTGACCCCAGTAACTTCTAGTTTTGCATATGGATATCTCGTCGAATAGCCTGATTTACATGATTTGAACCTGTGCATAATCTTAGAGCTTATTTCCAAGCGCTCACTCCTCCTGCTTTTTTCGTTACCTGTGTAATTTTTTATGTGGGGACTGCTTATTGGCATACAATTGGACATAAAATCAGTGGTTCCAAATGGTCTCATAAGTTTGTAATGATTCAGATCTGTTGACCAAGGCACAGTGTTTTTATTCGCCACCGCAATGCTAGCCAAATTCCAGCCAAATGTTCAAAGAATTGTACCGGATGTCATACCAGGGTGTGCCTTGAATTATAAATTAAAGAACAGAATTTCAAAATCTTATTTTTTTTATTTTCACAATATTTATCGTGTATTGATGGTAGATAAATGGGTGATTACCCGAACACGAATAAAACGAAGCTATCGAATATTCGAATATTTCACATTTTTTTTTAACTTTCTGGGCTCGAAGATGGGAAATTTTGCAAAAACTGAAAGTTTTTGTAAGATAATCGAATCTCTCGAGCTTTCCGGTCCCAGGGGCAAAAATATGAATTTACCAATGAATAGAGGACTAATATGAAAACCTTTCGCAACAAAAAATTTTTGGTGGTTTTCTGCGATTTTTTCGAACTTTTTTGAGTTTGAATATTGACAATTTTGAAAAAAATTTAAAATTTTGGTAATATACCGTAATTGAATTTTTCAAAATTTTCCGGTCCCGGGGGCAAAAATACGAATTCAATTCAAAAATCGCAGGTAATCACCAAAAATTTTTTGTTGTTGCGATAAGTTCTCCTATTAGTCCTCTAGCCATTGGTAAATTCATATTTTTGCCCCCAGGACTGGAAAATCTCGAAAAATTTGAATATTTCACCAAAATTTTTACAAAATTGTCGATATTGGAAGCCGAAAAAGTCCGAAAAATCAAAGGTAATCACCAATATTTTTTTGTTGTTGTAAGTTTTCATATTAGTCCTCTATGCATTGGTAAATTCATATTTTTACCCCCGGAAACGGAAACTTTTGAAAAATTCAATTTCGATATATTATCAAAATTTTCAATTTTTTCAAAATTGTCAATATTAGAACCCAAAAAAGTTTAAAAAATCGCAAATAATCACCAAAAATTTTTTGTTGCCGTAAGTTTTCATATTAGTTCTCTACTCATTGGTAAATTCATATTTATTCCACCGAGGCCGGAAAAGTTAAAAAAAATCGACTATCCTACCAAAATATTCAATTTGTACAAAATTGTCAATATTCAAACCTCAGAATATTTGCATGTTAGACTTCAAATAATTTCTCACCAGTTTTTTTATCACAATAAGTTGCAGTGTTATTCCCAAATCATCATCCAAATATAAACCCTCTATAGAGCGATGCCTAAAGTATTACTTTACGTTGTATGTACATTTCGTTTGACGCGGATAATATGAAATTCGGGAGTATAAGTTTGATATTTGGCTGGCGTGATGGTGGTTTTTATTCTACCATTTGTGGTGGTTCAAGTTTTGGTTACTTTTTTATATTTCTAAATGTGGATAAGTTGTTCAATAACTGCTTTACCAGATTGCAGTGAAAAAATAAATACCGGTAAATAAAAATTCTTACTCAATTTATGTTAACAAATATTTTATCACATTTTCAGTTGCTGAGCCTGCTTTGATTTATGTCCAAGAACCCATTTACTGCTCAAGTTACTTCTTGCGTTTTATTTCAGTAATTAGCGATCTTCTCATTTTGTAGTCAATGACCCCTTTTCCCTAATGGGCTTTATGCATCTGAAACAAATTTTTGGTTAACTATTTATGTCCGACATGGACTGGTAATCGAACGAAGGCCGTGGTTCGACATACGATTGAAACGTCATGTCTACTTCCCTTTCCCCCAGGATAAATATGGAAATCCTAATGACATTGGAAGGGTTCTTTAGATAACTTCGGAACAACCTGTTATAATTTATTTTTGTTGCATTATGAAACAAATATATTTTTTCAGTGGAAAACATTAAAGTTGCCGGTGGCTCCATGAGACTGAACGAATGCAAAGTCACATTTCCGAGTGGAACTTTTACCAAACAAACAAAGGTCTGGATGTCGGCTGGAACTGTCAATTCAATATGCCCAGAAGAATACATTGGTATCACACCAGTTTTCAATATCAGTGCAGAATCCGAATTCCTCAAAGATGCGATTGTGCAAATCCAGTCATGGTGCATCGGTCTAGAGAAAGACAAAATTGACATATTACATTTCTCAAGTAAAACTGACTGGGACATTATTAAACCTGATCGAATCACGGAGGATAACAGCATAGAATTTCGATCCAGGGAGTTTAGTCCAGTTACTGTCGCTATTCAGTGGTTGCAATGGCTACTTGGTAAGCAGGAGGTTATCGTGGACAACTGTCTCTATATTTTGAACGGAAACAAGTTTCATTTCACATTTTTTGAGAAAAGTGAGACTGCTCAAATCAATATCAGATCTCATTACAGAGAACTAGGGGCATGTCTTGCGCCTATTTGGTTTGATCCAATCACTTTGAAAACTGGTGACAGACTTCGTGTTGAGTTACAGATTGATCAAGAAGATTTACAATTCAATATGCCTCACAGAGAATTCAATTGTAACAACACATTTCTAACAGCCCCGAGACATAAATTAACGTTTTATCTCCTTCCTAATTTAAATGAATATCCTGAAAGTCTCATCGTTTGCAGAGTTTTCAAAAATGACGTTTTGCATGAAATACAAGAATTTGATTATCCCTTAGCACCAGTAGGTAAGTAATACTGGGTAGAGGGCTGTATAAAATGCAGTGTTCCTATATTCATGATTCTTAATGTCCCAGTTATGAATCTGCTCCCTAAGCTATTGGTCCCTCAACAATTTTTTATTGGGTTGTTGAAGTTGTTTCTCCATCACTCAACTAGATGCATGTTATTGACGAAGATTTAACCAAGATTTTATAGTGTGGATTAGTTTGTTCAGTTTCTATACTTGAAACAAGTTTTATCTAACCAACATTAGTTTTCAAATATCATTTAACATTAATCTAATGGGTATCTCATAATGTTTAGATATGCCTGGACAGCAAACTACCAATTTCTATGGAGATGTTAATGTTGCAGGGAACATGCATATGATGAGACAAAGATACAATATTCTACAACCTTTACAAGATGTGAGTAAATGCAATAAATATGGGTGCTCCCGTAGTATTCGTACCGGGGTATTTTCTCTTAGGATATTTTTCCTTACTTAATTCACACATTGGTACAAATATGCCTGGAGCGCCTAAATATGAAGATAAACGATATTTGAGTAATATCAGCTGACAAAACTTCAATTTAAAACAATTACAGTTCCATTCCTCGTACAAAATGATAATATCCATAATACAAACTCAACCTTATATTATAAATATTCTTTCACAAGACTTCCATTTAATTTGACTAACAAAATATCATGCTGACAGTGCATGTAGACGCCAAATTTGGAGTGCCTCTTAGCGCCCAAACCAGGGTTTAGTTCTTAGATGGTCGATCTGTTTTAGTAAACTGACTTTGTCATTCCAATGCAAGAAGGCGCGTACGGTATAGTTGATGTCGTTTTATTGTCAGGAAAGTACAGGTGTACGAGCTTACATATAAAACAAGAGAGCTATGCTCAAATATATGGACACGTAGAGTCACATAATTTTGATGACGTCATAGCGAAAAAAAAAGTAATAGCCTTCTGGAGAAAATTTTTATCTTTAACCACTAAAAATTTCAAAGCAATTGGTCCAGTATTCGAAGAGAAAAGCGACTTTTTAAAAACGTGTCAAGCGGTACTGAGTTAGCAGTCAGGCAGCATCTTACCTGTACACTGTAGGCCATATACGGTAATTGATCACAGAACAGTTGTTCCCTTGCAAATTTTATGTTGGTTACACTTTAGGACAGATAATTGATCACAGAACAATTCTTCCCTTTCAAATTTTATGTTGTTTCCAGTAGACTCTCATCAAAATAAACAAATATAGTAGGCTACAAGTGCTACAACGCTTGCATTACTGCACTGGTAGGACCGTGAAAGAATAAGTTACGGTAATTTCATTGTGGTAAGACACCGGTACCGGCACCAGTACCAGTATCGTACTTACGTACTGAGCTACCAGTACCGGTTAGCAGTCAGCCAGCATCTTACCTGTACACTGTAGGCCATATACGGTAATTGATCACAGAACAGTTGTTCCCTTGCAAATTTTATGTTATTTACACTTTAGGACAGATAATTGATCACAGAACAATTCTTCCCTTTCAAATTTTATGTTGTTTCCAGTAGACTCTCATCAAAATAAACAAATATAGTAGGCTACAAGTGCTACAACGCTTGCATTACTGCACTGGTAGGACCGTGAAAGAATAAGTTACGGTAATTTCATTGTGGTAAGACACCGGTACCGGCACCAGTACCAGTATCGTACTTACGTACTGAGCTACCAGTACCGGTACCGAACCTGTAGGTCTGATATTCCGTTCCGCATACGATAGGCTATAAAACTTGCATTGCAGCATTAGTAATACCGCGGAAGGAATAAGTCAATTTCACTGCGTTACGGCACCGGTATGGCAACTTACCAGTACCGACCTACAGTACTGAGCAAGACAATCGATCGCGAAACCGCTTGAAATAAGTGTAAAACAGTGTTCCCATGAGTAAAAATAAATACCGCAAAATTTTGTATGAAATATCATATCTCATAGGATTCATATAAAATTTAAGAATAAACAAAAGTAATAGCCTTCTAGCGAAAAAATTAATCTTCAACCACTGAAAATTTCAAAGCAATTGGTCCAGTATTCGAAGAGAAAAGCGACTTTTTAAAAACGTGTCAAAGAACAAGAACAAGAACAACAACAAGAACAAGAACAACAACAACATAATATTGAAACGATCGTTATGTCCACTACGTGTCCAAAAACAGATAGGTCGGTGCGATGGTAGGTACGTCAGTATGAGATGTACGACAGTACGGTTTTCTAACAAAACAAACAAAAAATATTTACAACACTCAATGTGCAAGTTATTGGTATTACATCTAAATATATAAATGAGATAGCGGTCAGAGACCGCCGACTTATCGATCTAGTGGCTTATCTGTATCTTTCGCTCTGACTCAATAGTGACACCGCGTGACCCATCACTAATTGATTAATAACTCGCTAATTATACAACATAATTCATCCAAAATCAATAGGCTTCTGGAGCAGTTTCACCTTGCTTTCGTGAGATATCACTTGTATCTAACAGACAAACAGACAGACAAACAAACAGACAAATACCTATCAACATATTTACCGATCAAAATCGATAAGTAAAAAGACAATTAAAGCCTTGAACCACAAAGCTGCAATCCCAGGATCAGGATCAGGCTGTTTAGGCATAAATAAAACAGAGAAATGCAAAGCAGCAAAGACAAGCAGATGAAAACAGGGACCGTGAACGACCATTGGTTTCCCATATTGTTATTTGCTTGTTTGTAGTTGTTTTCTTCAGCTCATTTCACGAGGTAACTTACACCTAATTAAACTTTATAATTTGTTTCTGGCTGCAATTTCATAAAATTTATTGGAATCGTAACCAAAGGGTCTATCGCAGGGCTTCCCAAACTTTTAAGCTTGCGGCCCCTTTTGATATATTAAAATTTTTTGCGGCCCTTGTTCATGTTAACAATGCTAAACAGTTCGAAATATGCATTTTTGATATTTTATTGACACAGCTAATCCGCAGCCTTCAGTAGGCCTACTCAAAAACAAGCACATATTTACTCAGATTAACATTACTCAATTATTCAATTTAATGGGTGCGAATGCTTTTTGCTGCATAGCAAGTCTAGCCGTGGCGCATTGTTTGTTTAAGTAGGCTCAAATGATGAATTACGATGTCTCGGCACCGACGGCCTGGTCCTTATCCGGAATTGTTCATTTTTATTAATCAAACATAGCATAAGGCAGCGGTTTGAGCACACTAAATTATCAGGGAAGAACTCATGGCCCACCTACACGAAAAATATACAATTTTGTCATCGTTAATATTTACTTTATGCCCCTTTAAGTTTTTAAACATGTAGGCATAAAGAATAAAGGCAATAAGTTAACCTTTCTTTTTTATCTCTGCATAGTATATCATTAAAATGCTAAAAAATCACTCATGTTCGATAAACTCGGTCCAGCAGCAAATGGATAAACTGGAGTGAACGAAACTGCAGCATGTAGGGTTTATCTCTTCTGTTACGTAACAATAGAAATCTTGTTATTCTCCTTTTCCTCCCCCCCCCCCCCCCCCCAAAAAAAAATAAAAAATAAGCCCTAGTATTATTTTCAAAAGAAAATTGAAGACATTGTCTTATTTTCGGGAAAACACGGTATGAAGATGTATTCACTCGGAATCGTGAAATTTTTGTTGTACACTTTTTTTGATAATTGTGTTTCGAACCAGGGTCTGAAAAAGTACAATAGATATACGTGTAAATTTGGTGTTCACTTTGCGGCCCCAAAAATTCGTTTCACAGCCCCCTTAGGGGCCACGGCCCCTAGTTTGGGAGGTCCTGGTCTATCATATCATCCTTTCGGCGCTCCAGAAGTACCAGAACATTTTTCCTTAGGATACTTATCCTCACATTGGTACGAATACTTCTGGAGCGCCGTATTGGTACCAATGTGGGGATTAAGTACGGTAATGTAAAGCAAAGTATCCTAAGGGAAAATGACCTGGTACAAATACTACAGGAGCAACCATTTTTAAATATATCAACCCAGATGTATTCTTAACACAAATCATGTATAAGAAATATATACGAAAAATAGGCCGTTCCCAGAAAAATAAAATAAGCATAGCATCCCAATTAGATGGCCCCCGAAAATCAGTTCAAATTGGGTCCAGGAAAGCAACTTAAAAGCCGGGAAATATGATGTGTCAAACGACTTGTCAAATATATTTAGTGAGCTTTGGGAATTTTCAACATGGATTGTGAAGTTTATGTAGCACAGCACCCTATAGTTGATTGGTTATCAAAACGCTTCATACAGAGCCCCAGTTCTCCTTGAGAAAAACCTAGAGACTCCACGATTGTTTCATTTACTTATAAAAATCCTGACTTGGCTAATTTTGTAACTGTCCAAAGAAGTAATAACGGCATTTATTAAATTTGACGAATGGTAGCGTCGAAATGTGTCAGCATAATTTAAATATATATAAAACTAAGTGAAAATATATATGAAAGTTCCAATGGATAACGCTGTATTTCAGTTACCGCCTTGTTGCCACATTTCGACACTACTTTATTAATATGTTTGTTAAGTGTATTTTTTAAACACAATGCAGAAAATAGATTAGACTAATACTTATTAGAGATAAAGTCATTTTGATTTGCTCAGGAACATTAATCCGTAAGTAACAAAGTGTTTCCCATATTTATTTTTATTCATTTATTGTGGGGTTCTGTGAATAATAGTCAACCTCTTCACAGGCTCCATAACACTGAAAGTTTGACAACCCCTGCTGTAGTAGATTGATGACAACCTGCTCTATTGTTAAGAATATATATCGAATATATATATGGCATTCTCAATAAGTTTCAATGGATAACGGCATATGCCACACCGCCTTGTTGCCACATTTCGACACTACTTTATTAATATGTTTATCAAGTGTATTCTTAAAATACAAAGCAGCAAATACATCCGAGTTATTGAATAAAGTCATTTTGATTTGCTCAGAAACATTAATCGGTAAGTAACAAAGTGTTTTCCATATTTATTTTTATACATTTATTGAGGGATCTGTGAACAATAGTCAACCTCTTCACAGGCTCCATAACACTGAAAGTTTGACAACCCCTGCTGTAGTAGATTGATATTCACCTTCAATTAATTTAGCAGATGATGAAGATGAGCTATGTCAGATAGTTGATGCGAAATATTTATTTTAAGGAGCAAAATGAACACGATGAAGCTGGTGCAGTAGGTGGAAACCAAGAAACAGAATCAAGTGATGGCGGTAGGTAAATTTTCACTTTTATTTCAAAGTATTTTTCTTTTAGAGAAAGTCTTTGATACTTCTGGAATAAGTTATTTTAGATAAAGCAATGACATATTTTGTTTACGTGATTGCATGTGAGAGGATTGCTGAATTAAAAATGTGTCATATGTACCAGTTGTAGGCTGTCCTGAACAGTGACTTTCTGTCTAAGACTATTTAAACAAATAATTTGAAGATGTTTAGTCTTCAGGGCACTTATCCTTAATATTTCGGCATGACACATATGTGTAATATAAATATGGCTCTAATATGATTGGTCAGTAAGAGTTAACATTCTTTATGTATACGTCTTATCTTGGACTTAACTCAAAACAAAACCAATAAGACATTTTCGCGCCGTTTTCAAGCATGATATAGGCTTGTCCGAGTGTTTTGTACCCGGGTTGTGCGTCACTCCCGTTTGGCATATTTCCAATTCTATGAGTTTTATATCTGTGAGTATAAAGGTAGGTATCAGTAGTAAATGACTAAAAAGGTAGGTATCAGTAGTAAATGACTAAAAAGGTAGGTATCAGTAGTAGATGACTAAAAAGGTAGGTATCAGTAGTAAATGACTAAAAAGGTAGGTATCAGTAGTAAATGACTAAAAAGGTAGGTATCAGTAGTAAATGGTAGTATGACTAAAAAGGTAGGTATCAGTAGTAAATAACTAAAAAGGTAGGTATCAGTAGTAGATGACTAAAAAGGGGGCTCCCGAAGTATGCGAACCAAGATGGCGGACATCGGAATGTAATATGTGTACTAGGTTAGGGTTAGGCCATAATTTTAGGTATGAATACTACGGGAGGCCCTTGGCTAGTCTTCGAACTGATAATGGGACTAAAATAAGGAAAATTGGAAAAAAATTATCGCCTAACCCTAACCTGTTACCCATGTTACGTTCCGATGTCCGCTTAGTCATTTACTACTGATACCTACCTTTTTAGTCATTTACTACTGATACCTACCTTTTTAGTCATTTACCACTGATACCTACCTTTTTAGACACTGATACCTACCTTTTTAGTCATCTACTACTGATACCTACCTTTTTAGTGAGTGATACCTATGATACCTACCTTTTTAGTAGGGTCCGTCCATCTGACGTGTGTAATACCATTACGATTTGAAATACAAAACTTTTTCCTTTTTTTTCTCATCTCTCATTTCAAAGCAACGGGGTCGATAGAGTTGCTCTCGTTTATCGAGAAACGGTTTGTATGAAGTGTCATAGATACGCTTCCAAAAGAAATCTAAGTGAAGTCTCTCGCACGTTTAAAAAAAAAGTTATAACATTTTTAGTAGGGGTATTTTTCTGCAAGGGAGAGTAGGATTAGGTGGGATTTATACTTGTTTTTTCTTTTTGAAAATAATGTTAAACTGATGCATTCACTGCGCCTGATTACCCTGCGTGGGTTCACAGTTCTAAATCTTGTGGGAATTATGTGTGAGAGGATTGCAGGACTCCTCACCGCCGTATCAATATTTGTAGTTTTAGCACTGTCTTGGTTCTTTGATAAGCTAACTAACATTGCGCATTAAGGATTACTTTGTTTACAACAATCTTACTGAAATATATTTAGGCGCACTGTGGAATGACCGAACCCCAGTAATTTTTCATTTTCGTATACGGACCTTTGGTAAAAATAGTTGAGTAGCCCAGCTTTATCGTATAATGAAAATATATTCTCAAAGTCACGTACCTGACATTACTACACCTCGTTCCCTCGAGTTAAAAACTTGAACTGTGCTTTATTCTTATTGATATTGCAGCAAACTAGGGCTGGAATCAGGAAACAAAATACCAGACATGCCATAACTTCTAAATAATTTTAAGATTTGCTGGTCAAATCCTGTCTAATTGGATACATCCTAATTGCAGTGGTTGAAGAATATCTGCCTATATGCTGACTACATCTTGTCTTTAATATCAATATTTTATTATTGAAAAATTTATCTTGGCATTTGGAGAGCAGTCTTCATGTTGTGCACCCTTTTTAAACAACATAATCGTGGCTTGTAGTATTCTCCCAAAATTTTAGTATTAAGTACGTTGCCATCAGATTGCAATCTCTGGTAAAACGATATCCAGCACTGGCACAAGTTACTTGCTTTTCACATTCACAGAATTCTCAATCAGGTATGGAGACTCTGAAATCATCTATAATGTAAATAAGTGTCTGGGAGATAGAGTATACGAGGGAAGAATAGTAACGCTTGATAATTTTGGAAAACCAATCACACAGGATAAATTAGCTGTTAAACTTCGAACTATTAATAGAAGCTTGTCGAAAGAAGAAATTGATGAAAAGTATCGGAATGAAATAGAAAATGCAATCAAGTTGCTTGCACACGACAACGTTGCTAGATATGTAAGACATCGTTCATGCTACCTTTCCAACGAACCTACTGTTGTTATTGTCACAGATCTGTGCAACCATGAAAAGTTAGAAACGCATCTGCCTGGATTCTCAGTAGAAGACAAAAAAATATTGCTTTTACAACTTTGCCACGGACTAAACCATATCCATCAGACTAAGCCTAAGCCGATTGCCCACCGAGATCTTAAACCAAGTAATGTGTTGCTTTCATTAGATGGAAAGCATATTAAAATTATTGATTTTGGAATCAGCAAGGAGTTTGCATTGGATGAAAATAATACCATTACCAAATCAACTGGATTTAGTGGAAGCTACGGTTGGGTTGCATCAGAAATGTGTTCAGACGACCGATCCAAAGAATTCGAAGCATGGGTCAAGGCTGATATATATTCATTAGGTCTTCTTATTTATTTTATTTTTACTGATGGAAAACACCCCTATCAAGGAAGTCCTGCTTCTAGGCATGCGAAAATAGAGAACAAGGAACAACCAGATTTCTCAGCTATTGAAAATGACGAACAGTTTCATGACAGGTATTTACTGAAAGAGCTTCTGAAAACCATGCTCAGTCATAAACCGGACGCTCGTCCTGGAATTACAGAAATACTTCAGCATTGCATTATATGGAATGACGAAAAGAAAATGAACTTCATTAGTGTTTGTAGTGAATATTTACAGGAAATTCCAGAAGGTGAAAAAAGAAAAAAAATAGAGAGCAATGGGACTGTGGAACAGAAGATGGCATACGTTCATATAAAAAGCATTGATAGCATTCAGAGTAGAAAATTGAGAGAAGACGAAAAAATAGCTTTGAAGAAAATTTATACAATCCTCAAAAAAGACTGGCTTAAATTGATAAAAGAAGAGTTGGAGGATCCCAGAAACAAATCGTATAAGAACAGCTTCACTGAACTGGTTCGTTACATACGAAACACTCATGCACATTTCAAAGAGAAATCAGAAAAAATGAAATCCAAACTTGGGTCAAGAAACAGAGGCATGTGGAAGTTTATCGCTTCAAATTTTCCAGAGTTCTTCCCGCACTTATTCCATCTCTTGAAAAATGAATTAAAAGGTGATGACAAGGAAAAGTATTTAGCAGAAGCAAACATCCGTGAACTGACAAAAAATAATGAAACAATAGATGACATGATTAACAACTATTTTAGCTTCGCAGTTATGTCAATGATAATGGTTGTACTTGTTTCTTTTATTCTAGGCAGGTCTGGTTAACTTTAGTTAGTTTGTACTGAACATGACCCACAAAAACCAGCAGCACTGACATATTTAATTTACACTGAGATTATTCTGGCCAGTCAAGCCCGAATGACGTCTGTCTAGTAATGTTTTCATAATTGTAATAATGTTAGCTCGATCCTTCTAGTCTTAGAAAAAATTATATATATCCTATATATCATTGTGTATTATTATGTGGCAAAACTACTGATTTACTTGAAAAATCAATTTTTTAAAATCCTTTTTATCAACATGCTACTGAAATGTGATTATGTTTTTCAATTATAATTGTCAATTAATGCTATTAATATTTGTGTGTATATTACAGGTACCATAGTTAAATATAACTAGATAATAATAGTAAAAATCATATAATGACACCTGACTGAAGATTCAATGTTTGAAATAAGATTGCTCATGAGAAGAGCAAGAAGATAAGAAAAGCCCTCCATTGGATTTAGATGGAAAATACTAAAACAACCGCTTCTATTTTTGAGAGACAATTGATTTTATTCACAGGTGAGTTATCAGTTATATCATTTTTCTATAAAATATTTGATGAAAAGTAGTACGTAGATATTTATTGATTCCCACAATAATCAAACCTAATTATTTCTACTGACTTGTTATTGACTGATTTTCGGTATTTCTGTAACAGCAACATTCAGTCCGAACGAGGCCCTGTGCAATCATCGCATAAGCTTTTGAAGAAAAGAGTCATTCTAGTTTGGCATTGTATACCAGACCTTTATACCCTGAGTAAAGTGATGAGAAACGGACTTTAACTCTAAATGTGTATGTTTGTGATGGAAAGTAATATACAGGGTGTCCATGAAGTCTCTTTGCAATTTCAATTTTGGTATGAAGCCAGTTCTCAATATATCTTTAACCAGGTTTGTTGTTTTCAATCAGTAATTGTTTGAGTCTTTTTCTTCATCTATGAGGGCCAAAACAATAAATGGTATCGATGAATTCCCTTTGCAATTTTAAAGGATTTCAAGACTTTATGGACACCCTCTACCTGCGGGAATTTATGAATAAATAAGTTTATTATCGGTTTCCATGAAACCGAATTCCGTCACTTGGCAGTATCCTGGTATCATTCCGCCACTCATTTTAGCTTATTTTATTTCGTTTTCAAAAGGTGGGGGAATAATGTAACCTAAGATGAACAGAATTGAAGGAAACAGATTGAAAAATCTGTGCCGGGTACAGATAGAAAGGACATCACCAAGTGACTGAATTATGCTTGATGAGAACTAAGAAAAAGGTATGTCGAAATGAATGAAAATTCACTAACTCGAAATAACCCATGTTACTGATTGGGTCGTAGTCATTAAAACATTTAATCTAAGTTTTTTTCAAAAATAATGTCGGCTTAACGAAAAAAATTGGGTGGACATGTACAGCCTTGACACTCATAGGGACCAATAAAAATGGATTCAATTTTTTAAAATTTGGTCAAAATAAGTATGCTGCTTCAAGCTTGCATGTTCGAGTATCGTGCTTGAAGAAGCTTACGGTGCTTATATGCTTATAATATTACCAAATTTGATAAACGCTACCAAATTAGATATACGTTTGTCATTGCAACTCTGATTACCCTGTGTGGGTTTGCTAAACTCTTCGCCTCAATCCCTAATATGGACTGGTAACCAGACTGGACGTTTTGATACAACATATTTTTAAACATCTTGCCAGCTTTCCACTCCCAAAGATAAATATTAAAAAACATCTTTTTAGAAACTGACTCTGATGACCTCATGGTTTTATTAATATTACCCAGTTTGCACTGTCGAATTATTGTCCTATAATTTACCATCAAGTTTTTTTTATTCTCAGATCCGAAGAGCCGAATCGCGCGAGCAAGTTTCCGAGATGAGGACAAGATTCTAAACGAGAGTAAACATTTTTGCTCGATAAAGCTAGAGAGATTTCAACATTGCTGACAGCTAGCTGGAGTGTTGACTGCAATTCAGAGTACAGTCGGATCAACTTTAGTACATTTTGAAATCAACCTGACCCCCAAAAACAGAAAGCTGGAACCAGCAGCATAGACATGCTTCAGTTAAGACTGACAATATTCTGGCCAGTCAAGTCCCAATGACTTACGTCTGTAACAGATTTGTAATTATTAAGTTAACCAGACTGCTAGTCCTAGAAGAAATAATATTTGTTTCATATTAGTATATGGCAGGGGTGGCCGACCGGTCTTCAGCTGAGACCAACCAAATATTTTGCAATCTCTTGCATTGACTGATGGATAATAAAATCACACAAAAGTAGATGGTACTAAATTTTAAACTGAACATCGATGTAATGTCTCTGCTTCTATTGACAGAGGTTTCAGTTGGAGTAGTGCCTTGAACTTGAAAAGTCATCGCGAGATTTGCTCCTGCATGAAAACTCCCTCCCATTTGATATAATGGGTTTCATGGGTTCAGTTTAACAGATACATCATATCAACCTGCTGTTGAATGTTCTTGAACAAGCGCTGCTCAAACACTATTTGAATGAAAATTCCTATTAGGCATGTCGATAAGTCGTCGGTAGATTGTGTTGGCCACCCCTGGTATATAGCAATGAAAAGCTTTTATAATGTCATCTTACCAAATTATAGCAATTTTTATTTTATAGTGTCATTATCATGTAATGCTATTAATATTAGCTAACGATTAACAAAAATGCTCTGTTACATAAATGTCAATATCTGCCCTCCTATATTTTTAAAATGCAATTTTGACTCTTTCCTTCCTAGTGAATTATTGATGAGTCATCTTTTTACTGTGCATGAACACTGATTGAAGTAACCGAAAGATGGATTCTATATTCTCAGTAATTTATGTATTTGGACGAGCAATTACAATAAAAAAGTCAATCAATTTTTTATCTTCAAAATATTCGAGATTAAGTTCTGAAATCATCAGGTAATCAAATATGGGGGCTCCCGAAGTATGCGAACCAAGATGACGGACATCGGAATGTAATATGTGTACTAGGTTAGGGTTAGGCCATAATTTTAGGTATAAATACTACGGGAGGCTCTTGGCTAGTCTTCGAACTGATAATAGGACTAAAATAGGGAAAATTGGAAAAAAAATTATCGCCTAACCCTAACCTGTTACCCATGTTACGTTCCGATGTCCGCCATCTTGGTTCGCATACTTCGGGAGCACCCAAATATGTCCGATACTCCCGTAGTATGTGCACCAGGTTAGGCCATAGTTATATTCCAATTTTTCAAATTTTAGTTTTATTACGATATCGGGGACTGTCTGTATTAGCCAAGTGAAAATACCCTCATCTGACCGCAACATGTCACTAATCTCTGTTACTCAGAACTACAAACAATATTTGCAACTATAATTTTATTCGCCACCCTGGGTAAAGCGATGGGCATCAGGCGGGGTTTACCCCCCGTTTGAAAAAAAAGCATTTTTCTGTATCATATATAGCAATTTTTCGTAGCTTGAAAAACTGTTTAGATCCGCAAGACTCTTGAAACCCTATGTTTTCCCGCCGGCCGCTAGCTCTTGTGGGCCGACTTAGCAATTTAAAGTTTCAGACCCCTCTCTAAGGTATGCAGTATGCAAACCATGATGGCGGACACTGGAACGTAGTATGTGTACCAGGCTAGGCCATAAATTTAGGTACAAATACTATGGCAGTCACTTGGCTAATCCCCGAACTCGTAATGTAACTAAAATGAGGAAAATTGACCCTGGTACACATACTACGTTCCGGCGTCCACCATCTGGTGCGCATACTTCAGCGAGTAAGTACCATTTGAAAATTCCTTGCTACCCCCCAGGGCATCAGGTTTCGCACTTGAGTCCTTCTTACCAACACTCCTAACTGCAAGCGGTCCCTGAACCTAATAATCAGACGCCAAGCTCCAGGCTAACGAGACCATTGCAACAATATATATAGGTTTATTCACCCAAAATATTAATAACAAAAAGTATCTCTGTAACCGACAATTGACACAACTTCATGACAAAAATATTCTTGGGAGAATAATGAAGTTCCATTTGTGAGTTGGAGTTAGTCTTGAGTATGGGTATTATAATCATTCAGAGTGGGAGGCTGGATAATGAAAATAGAGGGTTTATTGGATGAACTAGAGGTAGAAAATTTTAAAGTGTTGATAATTGAACTTGAGCATATATTTTCAAGCGAAAAATGAATATCCATTATGGTTTGCAGATAACTTTTCAGGGTATGTGGCTTCACTTACGGTACTTTCAGCCTAATCTGATCCTGTATAGTGACACTTCAATGTTGAAATGCCATATTTTTACTCCATTGACCAAAATTTTGAAATAGAGGATGTCCATAAAGTCTTGAAACTTTTTGAAATTGCACAGGGTATTGTTGTTTTTGCCCTCAGATGTATTTAAATGAAGTAAAAATACTGATTAAAAATTAACAAACCCGGTTAAGATATATTAGGAACTGACTTTTTGGACACCCTGTACAATGATTGATCCCCGATGTTTTTCATATTGTATTACTGTTGGTTAAAAGTTTTTTAAAAAGCAGGGAAATTCGAAGTGAATTTTAAATTTAACTGTTTTAGAAAGCACTAGCGAATTTTTGTCACTGTTCAAATACTTGTGTCGCATGACTAGAAAATTTCAGCAATACTTATATTCTGGGCATTCATTGTTTCTCCTGAGGAGAAATGCAGCCTCGAAGACAGAATATTTAAGACAGAAAGGAACTAATTGTAGAGGAAAATTGGAAGATTTTGTGCCGTCAATTTGCAATAGCCTTCTACTAATCCAAACTTCTGACCACTGCTAATAAATTGGTACCCTTTTCAAAAAAGACAAATATTAACATTTCATGTGCCGAAATTCTCCTTTTTGTCAAACTTGAATTCGGATATTTTCAGTTCATTTAACGTTTTTTTGTCAACATTAAAATTACGCTGTACAAAATTATTGCATTGTTCATGTTAAATGAAGCCTTTTGGACAGATTGTCAGGAAATAC